CATATAAGGAAACTGAAATAATAAATAAAATTTTTTTAAGGTTAAAAAAAAGATATCCAAGCTTAACTGCAACAAAAAGTCAAATAGAAGGAAATATAAAGTAAAAGAGTATTACAAGAAGACTCTGAAGTCTAGAACTGATCTGACCTTTACATGTGAACATCAATATTACTACAATCATACTGACGTATGATACAGTGAGAACCTTATAGTGAGCATAAGCAATCCAAAGAATACCAACCTTGGACAAAGTAACTCTGAGACCATGATAAAACAAACCTACAGCAATTCATGACTCTACAGAAAAAAACACATGCTGCCTTTGAGCCCCCGCTGGGCCTCCTCATGGAGCCGGGAGTTAAGCTGCAGCACCATAACACATTGCTAGGGATAACTGAGGCCACCTGCCCATTGCAAGTGGTCCTTTTAACTGCCAGCTACAGGGGCACGAGAAATAAATTTTTAAAAAAAGAAAAAAGCACAATGATAGCAACAGAATTCTCAACACTAAAATTTCTGCTCAATTTTTTCTATTGAATCTGTGACCACATGCATACTAGGTTGAACAGTCTCCTCAAATTTATAGGTCAATGGAACAAAATAAAAAGCCCAGAAACAGACCCATATAAATACAGTCAAGTTCTTTATCCATAGGCTCAACTAAGCATTGATAGAAAATAATCCGCCATCTGTACTAAAAATGTACAGACATTTCCTTTTCTTGTCATTAATACCTAACCAATACAGCATAACAAGCATTTACATGGCATTTACATTGTATTAGGTATCACAACTCATTTAGAGATTAAAAATATATATATAACACATTTAAAAAATCATTATACCATGATCGTGTTCCAAGGATGCAAGGGTGGTTCAATGTGCAAAAACCAATAACCACAGTGCAGCACATAAACTCAACGACAAAGTTCACATAATTATTTCAATACAGACAGAAAAAATATCTTTGATAAAATTTGGCATCCTTTCATGGGTAAAATGTCCTGAATAAAACAAATATAGAAAGACCATAACCTAACAAATGCTAATGATGACAGACAAGCCATAGTCAGCATAACAGTGAATGGGGGGAAACCTGAAAGCATTTCCTCTAAGATCAGGAACAAGGCAACGGTATCTACTCTCACCACTTTATTCAATGCTACATTAGAAACTCTAGCTAGAGTAACTGGGCAAGAAAAGGAAATGAAAAGCAGAAAAGCAAATAGAAAAGGAAGAAGTCAAATCATCTCTATTTGCAGATGATATGATTCTATAAAAGAAAACCCTAAAAATTCTACCAGAATATTTTTAGAACTGATAAATTCAGTAAAGTAACAAAAATCAATATGGTAAAATCAATTGCTCTTCTATACACCAACAATGAGCTGATTAAGACATCAGGAAAACCAGCTAGCACTAGAGAGAGATTTCAGAGGTTGAGAGCACTGACTGTTTTTGCAGAGGACCCAGGGGCAGCTCCCAGCACCCACATGGCTAACAATTATCTCTAACTAACTCCAGTTCCAGGGGTCCAACACCCTTTTCTAGCCTCTGCAGGCATTGCACACACATGGTGAACTTACATGCAGGCAAAATATGCATACACAAAATAAATGAAAAATTTTTAAAGAAATCAGGAAAACAATCCCAATCACAATGAACACAATAAAAATAAGATTCTTAGGAACACATCTAATGAAAACCACAATATTAAATAAAGAAAAATTGAGGAAGACACTAGAAGGTACAAACTCTTCCCATGTTTATGGATTGGCATAATTAACATTATGAAAATGGCTGTCTTGGGGGCTGGAGAGATGGTTCAGTGGTTAAGAACACTGGTTGTTCTTGCAGAAGACCCAGGTTTGAATCTCAGCACCCACATGGCAGCTAACAATTGTCCGTAACTCCTGTCCCAGGGGATCTGACAGCTTCTTCTGACCTCCGCGGGCATTGCACGACATGAGTGCACTTACCTACATGCAGGCAATACATGCATACACATAAAATGAAAATAATTTTTTAAAAAATAAAATGGCTGTCCTATCCAAAACCATCTACTAATTCAAGGCAATCCCTATCAAAATACCAATGACATCCTTCACAAAACCAGAAAAAAAAATCTTAAGATTCATATAGAAGGACAAAAGACTGTACTTAGCCTTAGCAAAGACAGGATTGCTGAAGGCATCACAATATCTGATTTTAAAACATACTACAGATGGCTCAGCAGTGAAGAGCTCTTGCTGCTCTTGCAGAGGACCTGGATTCGATTCCCAATACCCACTTGGTGGTTCAATAAAATCTACTACTCCAGTTCAAGGGGATCCAACATCCTCTTCCAGACTCCTCGGGCACCAGGCATGTATGTATTACACATGCAGGTAGACCACTTGATAAACATAAAATAAAATAAATATTTTTGGGCTGGGCGTGGTGGCACACGCCTTTAATCCCAGCACTTGGGAGGCAGAGGCAGGCAGATCTCTGTGAGTTCAAGGCCAGCCTGGTCTACACAGTGATTTCCAGGACAGCTGGGGCTACAGGGAGGCCCTGTCTCAAAAAGACCAAAATAAAAATAAATAAATATTTTTAAAGACATACTACAGAGCCATCATCCAAAAATAGTACCAATATAAATACAGGCCTGTGGACTAATGGAACAGAATACAAGACCCAGAAATAAAGTCACACATCTTCAGCCAACTTGACTTTCATCAGAAAAGGTGCAAAAACATACATTGAAAAAAAGGAATAACCCCTTCCTTCAACAGATGGCACTGGGAAAACTGGACCTCCATAAGTAGGAGAATGAAACTAGATCCCTATCCCTTCCCCTGTACTGAACTCAACTCAAAGTAGATCAAGGACCTTAACGTAAGACCTGAAACTACTAGAAGAAAACATAAGTAAAACACTACAAGACACAGGCACAGGTAATGATTTCCTGGATAGTACTTACAATAGCTTAAGAAAGAAAGTAAAAATTAACAAATGGAATTATATCAAATTTAAAAGCAACTGCACAAAAAAAGCAACAATCAAGAGAGTGAAGAAATGATTTACAGAATGAGAAAAATTTTGCCAAAGGTATGATCCATAAAGCAAAAAATTGATACACTAAATTTCATTAAAATTAAACAACTTAAACAGATTCACAACAAAAAAATGAGATTACAGCAGTAATTTAAAAAAAAATCTCTACACAAACAAAAGCCTAGCCCTGGAAGGAGTCACTCCTGAATTCTATCAGATCTTTCAGGAAGAACTAACACCACACTCTCCTCAAACTGTTCTCAAGAATAAAAAGGTAAGGGACAATAGCGACCTCATTTAATAAGGCCATAATATCCTAAGACCAAAACCAGATAAGGACACAGAAAAGTAAAAGACTAAGACCAGTTTCCATGATGAACATAGACACAAAAATTCTCAATAAAATTCTTACAACTCAAAAACTCAAATGCAAGAATACACTGAGATTATACAACATTAAAAAGTTGTTTCCCTGGGCACAATAGTGCATGCCTTTAATCCTAGCACTTTGGGGCAGAAGCAGGTGGATCTCTGTGAGACTGAAGCCAGCCTGGTCTGCATAGCAAGTTCCATGCCACTTGTGGCTACAGGGAGGCCCTGTCTCATAAAAGAAAAAAAAAAGTAGAGTTTCATCCCAGGGATACAAGGTTGGTTCAACATATGCAAATCAAAAATGTGCAAATCAATAAATGCAATGCAGCATATAAATAGATAAGCATGGTGAAAGGAGGCACCATTGCTTCTAATTTTAGAGGAAATGGTTTCAGATTTTCCACATTTTAGTACAATATTGACTATTGGTTTGTTGTAAATAGACTTTATTATGTTGATATATGTTCCTTCTAGTTCTAGTTTCTTTTTTTCCACTTTTTTGTCATCTTTTTGAGACAGGGTCTCCTGTAGCCCCAGCTGGCCTGGAACTCACTATGTAGACCAGGCTGGCCTGGAATTCACAGAGATCTGCCTGCCTCTGCCTCCTGAGGCTAGGATTAAAGTAGTGCGCCACCACGCCTGGCTAGTCCTAGTTTCTTTAGGGCTTTACTCAAGAAGGGATGCTGAACTTTACTACACTACATGCTTTTATTCAATATAATGCTCAGTCTTGCTTAGAGTAGTAAGGAAGAAATGGAAGTATTCCTGTTTCTAGTCAACATGATCAAAGGACACTAACTGACTCCACCAGAAAACTTTCATATCTGGAAAACATTCAACAAAGTAGCTGAATACAAAATACAGAAATCAGCAGCCAAAAGGTTATATACCAATAACTAACTTACTCAAAAATAAGTCAGAAAAATAATTCCATTCACAATAGCTTCAAAAAAAATAATGATGTTCCTACGATAAAACTAATCAAGTCAGTGAGAGACCTCTACACTGGATAATTGAAGACACTAGAAGATAGAAAGACCTCGCATGCTCATGGATTGGCAGAATCAATTGTGAAAATGGCTGTATTACCAAAAGTAATCTACAGATTCAACACTATCACCATGAAACATTCCAATGACATTTTTCACATAAAAAGAAAACACTCAAGGTGGTGGCACACACCTTAAGTCCCAGCACTTGGGAGGCAGTGGCAGGCAGATCTCTGTGAGTTGAAGGCCAACCTGATCTACATAGAAAGTTCCAGACCATCTGGAGCTACAAGGAGACTCTGTCTCAAAAAGATGGAAGAAAGAAAGAAAGAAAGAAAGAAAGAAAGAAGGAAGGAAGGAAGGAAGGAAGGAAGGAAGGAAGGAAGGAAGGAAGGAAGGAAGGAAGGAAGGAAAGGAAAGAAAACACTCTTAAAATTAATATAAAAACAGGCTGGAGAGATGGCTCAACAGTTAAGAGCATTGGATATTCTTGCAGAAGACCAGGGTTTGAATCCCAGCACCCACATGGTGGCTAACAACCATCCATTACTCCAGTTCCAGGGAATCTGATGCTCGCTTCTGACCTCTGAAGAGGGTACTACATGACATGGGTGCACTTACATACATGCAGACAACATTCATACACACAAAAATAATTTTTTTAAAACTTCATATAAAAACACAAAAATCACCAAATACCCAAAGAAACCCTAAGCAGAAACCCACATCGTGATCTAAAACTACACTACTGAGTCATAGTAACAAGATAAGCATGACACTGACACAAAACCTATTCCATACCTCTCATCCTTCACAAAAAATAAACTCAAAATGGGTCAAAGACCTGAATGTAAGACCTGAAACTTAAACCATAAAAAATAAACATATGTAAAACACCTCACAATATAGGCTAGGACAGTTAGATGCCTTAGTCAAACAAGCCTGAAAGCCTGAGTTGAATCCCTGGAATGCACACAGAGGAAAGAGAGACAACCCCCCCCCCCCAGAAAGCTGTTCTCTGACCTTCACACATTCACTGCGGCAC